AAAATTTTGATTACTCGATCGCTCCAGATTAGAGCTATGCTAACTATCAAAATTCAAAAATCTTTTATCCCTAAAAATCTGCAAATTGCTCGCTCTTTGCACTTCGCAAACAATTCGTATGCAAAATCTGAGAATTCGCAACTTCGTTGCTGTTAAAGTAGGTCAAAAGGGAAAATTTTTTTTCTTTAGGTCAAAAAAATCTGCAGATTGTGTACGCGAATTCTTTTTTATCTCTAACATGAGCAGTAGTGAAGCTGATTTCGTTTTCCACTATTTATCATACGTACTCATCTACGAATTAGCGCAATTTAATACGAATTAACTGCAATGTGCAATGTACAAGTAATTTGTAGATTTTCAGAGCCGTAGGGAAACCTTTTCTGAGTTTAGATATGTATCACAGCTATTCTCCTCCGAATCCTCACAATTTCTCTACGAATTAATTGCGATGTGCAGGATGGTAGGAATTTGCAGATTTTAACACTTGGATGGAAAAATGTTTTGATTTTTATTTACGTTCAGATCTGGGCGCTTGCGAAATTTGTTTTCGACAGTCATGGATTCGAAAATGCACATTGTTACATACCTTCGAATTGACAATCAAATTTTTGTTTAGTTGCTGAAGAATTTGCATAGTTTGACGAACTCGATTTTGCATGTTGCCGTTGCAACTTTGGTACTAACAACGTGCAAAACGGCACATTGCCACCATTGTTGAATTGATGCTTAAAAAAGTTAGACAATTTTGCCGAATTCGTCTCTGCACATGTAGTGAGCATGTTTTCAACAATGTACAATTCGCGATCATTTCGAAAATGCAAACTGTTGAAACATAAAAAAACGTTCAACAGTTTCCAAATGCAATTCGCTTCTCGATACACTTCGCAGATTTGGTATGTTTACACAGTACTCAAAGTACCGGTTAATTGCATCGAAGTACAATTCGCACGGGAAAGCACCATCTGCGAATTCGTGTTTGAACGCCTTGGCCGCACCACTCTGAAAGATGGGACTAACATACAATCTATTAGTGTCTTTTTGTCTTACCTTATTTCCAAAAATGATGCATCATTTATTTGACAGGAAGACAGCGGAATAAAAATACAGTAAAAATTGTAAAACATACACGTACTTGATTCTATAACAACAATTTAACATCATAAACCAGAAGAACGTCTACTTACATATATGTCTCTCGATCCCTTGCTGTTCATACCGGGGAAAAAAATCGTTAGACTACGTTTTCTTCATTTTATTACAACTCAGCAAACATTTTTTTAAGAGATACTTTCTCAATTGCCCTGGAAGAGAAGTTCTGATTAATGCGACAGGGTTCTCACTGCTACCTCCTTGGGAATATAATTCATGCATTTATTGTCGATATATCGCAGTATCCATTCGATATGTTGCACGGTTTGTCGGTACAGTATCTTCAATATGTAGGTAAAAATTCCACTGTATGAATAATGTCTGCGTATTCTCACTCTCCAAACCGAGAATATAGGGTTCGAATTCTACATCTATGAAAGTTGCTCCCATACAAAATGAATTCTTGGGAAATTAAGTACATCTGACAAACTTTTTAAAAGACATTAGATGCGTTTTCTCATTCCTTATATAATTTCTTTAAAAAGTTGTCTTTATGAAATATTTCAAAACAATGACGATTTAACGTCAACAGAATCAGGCGTATGATACCTCTACCAGATACCTAACTTGTTTCTCGGCGATTGAAAAGTGATTTTTTCACAGGTATATAGCACTGGCATAATTTGAAATGACAAAATATGCCCGCACGCGGCTCTCCAGAAAATAGCTTCCCAGAATTTGAATAAAGATTACACTCACAACAGGAGTGGAACATGAGAAAGTCGGTCTAAGCTAACTCTACCCTACCAGTCCGATTTTTCTTGTTTTTGGCGCTTTAGGGTTTCTTGACATGCTCTTTCTTTTGTTTTTTCCAAAGTGCTCGGAAGTAGCGTTTCTAGAAAACTACGGCTTTTGACGTACAAGTTCCGAGTAAAATTAATTTAAAAAAAACTAAACGTCAGAAATTAATTTTGAAGGTGATATTCGTATTCAGCATTGAAAGACGAACATTTTAAAAAAAACAGCCTCCAACGCAAAATCTGAATTTTTAAATTAATTTTCAAATTTTCAAATTTTCAATTTTCAACTTTTTTTAAATTTTAAATATTTCAGCTTAGCAAGATAATAGGGAGTTCGCTCAAACGGCATTCAAAAGAGAATTGAAAACTAAATAAACGTGGATGTTTATGAAAGTTCCAGTATCTTCCTGGTTTTTGACGAGTTTTCCAAAGACACTTTTTTAAATTTTACTTTAAAGTTTAAATCTTTTTAGCGTACACATTTATAACTAACTTTGGAGTCATTTTATTGAATACAATGAACACATTGAAAGTCAATGAGCCTATTTTAGAGGATTTGGCTGCTATAGCGTAACGATTTTACCTCATGTATACTTATGCTATAAGGCAGCAAGCATCCACATTCACACCTGCATTAGCAGAAAGAGAAAGCAGGTAAAACATGCAAATCTGTCATCGTATTTAGTTAATTAGTACTTATTACTTATTAGTACTTTTTAACAGTATAGTGATTCAAAAGAACAAACAAAAGCAGAAGATAGCTCAGAAAACTAGACCACTAATCAATTAGAAGAATTAACGTGAGATATTGAATGTTTTTGTGAAGAAACTTATTTTGAATCATTTATTTTTGCCTCTAGACAATTTTGTCATAATCAACCATCAACAGTCGATAAACGCTGGGGACCAAAACCGCTCGATGGACCAATTTCTATCGATTTTATAAGTCAAATGCTGGAAGCTCGAAAAGTCAAATCCTATCCATATTCAAACAAGATTCGAAACAAAATTATTACGCTCTGCAGAACTTCCTATAGGAAAAATTTGATGAAATAGCTTTTGAATATTCTACGACAGTCATTTTCTAAGTCCGTCATTTTAATTAATTCAATTAAAAATTTCTTTTATCTCGACAAGAATTTATTTTGACAGAGGAAGTATAGGAGAATGTTCGTAATACCCAGATGACGTTCATCTCAAAAAATTATACAAGATCTATCGTTTTCTTATGAAATCTTGTGACAAGATCTTGTAAGATCCTGCGGTGTCTTGTAACTTCTTGTCATAAAATCTTGCAAGATCAACTCATAAGACGTGACAAAATTTAGCAAGATCTTGTAAAATCTTGCCATTGAGAGCGTGACTTATATTTACTGCTTATCGCAAGATCATACGATTTCTTGTTATATGATCTTGCAAGAAGTGATGATTCATTCTAAATTTTGCTATAGTATATATACAACATCATTCTTAAGACAAAACTTAAAATTTCTTTCTTCGACTTCGAACATCAGCTGAGCGCAAGTAAAGTGCATGCCTATAAGGGCGTGGTTAGATCCTAAGGACGTCAGTGTCCTACCCAGTCTAGAAAATATTATGAATAGAGAAAGATACTTTTTTAAGAGAGTCTAGAGGAAATTTATAGAACACGATCAGGCACATAATCTTGTAAGATCTGATGAATTCTTATGTGAAGATCTTGTACGATCATATGAATACCATTGGGTTTAACCATGATAAATGATCTTTCATATGCATCAGTCATTCTTATAAGATCATTTTACAAGGTTTGTCGACCTGGGCACTAAGAAAATGTTACTTTTCTGAAAAGAAGGAATTTGAAAGAAACTGATCAAACTATTTTTGTACCCGAATCTTTTCACGTTAGTGTTAGCAATAACAGTGACTAGTCCTATTGAATCATCATTTTCAGATTATAGATTTCACACTCCACTCTCTAAAAGAAGAAAAAATAAATACCATAGTTTATAGAAGCATGTGTTTCGAAGCGGCTGAAAGTTATGTGTTTTTGTTTTCTTCATATATACATCCTCAGATACTTGAAAATATATTTTTTGCTTTATACCTTTTTATGTAAAAAGGATAAAGAAAAGAAAAAAGAAATGAAACTCGTGCATCTACGTGGCAGTCGATGGAGCAAAAACACATTACATTCTCTCACAAACAGAATCGAAACCGTACATCTTTGGAAATAAAAACATTCTTATTGACATTATTATTAGGTATATAGTTCACAAACATCTAGTTTACTAAAAAGTTCAACAAGAATGACTGATGCACATGAACGATCATTTATCATGGTTAAACCCGATGGTGTTCAACGAGGTCTGGTGGGTGAAATTATTAAGCGTTTCGAACAACGAGGATTTAAATTAGTCGCAATGAAAATGGTTACAGTAAGTAGCGAAAACGTTTTTATTATTATAGTATGTGCTGAGAAATCACAAAACCAGTTTCAGAATTGAAGTAAACAGTTTAAGCTAAACTTGTTAGTTTCTTCTCAAGAAAAAGAAACATGATCCAGTTTTTTGGAAATCGGAACATCTGAACGTGACTGAGTTTCCTTTTGCAAGGAGAGTCAGGATCTAAATGACATAAAAGTTCGGTAATGAACTCACATTAATGGCTTTTACCGTTTTGATGTTTGTTCCGATCTAAACCGTTTTTTCTTTTGTTTATTTAGCCACAACGAGCACTCCTTGAACAACACTATGAGGAACACAAAGGTAAAAAATTCTTCGATCCATTATTGTCATACATCGGAAGTGGACCAGTGGTGGCAATGGTAAGTTGTTTTTATTTTTCTGAATATATTATTTACTACTGTAATTTAAATTTAGGTTTGGGAAGGTCTAAATGTTGTATCTGTTGGTCGAAAAATGCTCGGTGCAACAGATCCAGCAAAATCTGAACCGGGAACAATTCGTGGTGATTATGCTATTGTCACTGGCAGGTGAGTGTAAATATTTTATCGTGCATACCGTTAAGATTACTTTTCTCCTTTAAATATTTTTCTAGAAATATTGCACATGGCAGCGATTCTGATAAATCGGCTAAACGTGAAATTGATTTATGGTTTCGAGCAGATGAACTTGCCAATTGGACCAATTGTGCTGAAAGATGGATTTATGAATAAATGATGATCATAAAATGAATCAAAGACACAATCGGAATGGCATCACCAACAATCACATACGTTTGACCTCTTTTTTAGTATAATGTATTTCTTTTCTTGATATAAACATTGTTTTATCATATTTTTCTTATTTTATTTGTTTGCGTAAAAATCCTCAATTTTGTTTCAACAAGTCTTTAGTGAATGATGCACGAATAAAAAGGTTTCTTAGTAAACAGATTTGTGTTAGGTGTCTAACTTATACATTCTCTTTCTAATGAACGGTTTCTTTTCTGTTCATAAACAGAAAATTTTTCAAAAGAGTCTTTGAACAAGGATTTCTAGGAAATCATCGGGTAATCCTGTGGTGTATCAAAAATTTCCAGTGGGATTATAGTGATGTTTTTTTTATGGATCGATGGCCCAGAGTATCCTCTTCAAAATGAGAATCAAGCGAGCTCTGAATTCCCAGTGGTTCGGGTATAGTATCAGATCTTTTTGGAGTTCCAGGATTCGTTGTTTTCATTTAATATTGAAAAAATTCCCAATTCACTCAAAAAGCATCAGATCGAGTTGGAAACTTCAGAATATACGGTATTTAGGCTATTTTATATTCCTATTATTAGGAATCGACGAAAAAAAATTTAGACAATTCTATGATTTTTCAAAACCGTTTCCAGAAAGCCTGTAAACAAAAACATTATTTTCCAATTTTTCGATCGTATAAGCACGTTTATCAGACGAAATTAAGTATATCCTGAAGTTTCCAACTCGTTCTGATGCTTTTTGAGTGAATTGGGAATTTTTCGATATTAGATGGAAACAACAGCCTCGACACCCTAATTTGCGTAAAACATTTTTAGTGGTTAATGCGAACAATTTGTGAGCGTAGTGAACAGGGTGAGTATTAACCGCCGTTCATGACTAATTTCTGGAGCAAGGGCTATTTTCTCTTACTCTTTCTTTTTCTTATTTTATGTCATTTGACGCCTCTGCTTATTTTGCTAAGACAATATAATTAACCCAGGCTAAAGACATTCAGTTTTCTCGTCTATACATTCAAGTTTTTCTATTCTGTGTGCGACTAGTCAAAGCAGTATATTTCGACAAATATTATTACATTCTTATTTGAATAATCACACTAATGGGGAAATTAAGAAGAATAGCAGCCGCAAAAGTAATGTCAACTGGTACTACAAGCACGACAGTTAACTGTTGTGCTTGTAGTACTCTTAGCTGAGACAATTGTCTCAGCTAAGAGACAACGTAAAACTGCACCAGATTTAGCAGCAACTAGTTAGCAGCAAACGACGACGTGTTTCTTTACCATTTCCATCACCACCGGCACCTACAACGACAGCGCAACCTGCAACTGAACAACTAACCGAAGATTTAATAAAAGTTGGAGTCAAACCACCACCAGATTCAACACATGAAATATTGTTGGTATGGCATACCACGAACTGTACCAACATCGTCCCACCGTCAACTAAATTAGCGTCAGTGGCTCAACAACAACAGCAGCAACAACAATTAATGGATGATTTTCATGATGTACTCTTGCCACCGTCCCTTACGAGTGGAAGAACAACTGCAACGACAACTACTTCTACTATGCTAAACGGTTCAAATGGTTACATGTTACAATTAGAGCACGTGAATTGGCCAATTCAACGAATTCATCGAACATCACCTCAATATTATCAAAAAATTATACAACAGCAGGGTCAACATCGTTATCGACTTCAAAAAGAACATCAGATATTGATTCAAAAGGCATGTATTCTTTGTTCACTGCACTCGGAACTGATATCTCAGCTTTAGCATTAGATATGGATCCCGAGGTTGAATTTGTACCGCCACGTCGTCGTGCCTCTATTATTAAAGGTGAAGGCGTGAATGTAGCTCATCTTTTGCTACCTGTTGATAGTAGTAGTGTCTCATATCGAGATGAAGCTGATACAACACCGGTTGTTTTACGTGGACCATCCGATCCACATTTGTTGAAGGCTCACAGTGGGCATTCAGGTGGAAATTCAGAAAAAAACAGTGAGCTTGCTTTTTCGTAATTTAAATACTGTTTCATATACTTCGAGTGACGGCTGATTTAATGGCGAAAGAATTTTTATTTTACGACTTTTCCTTCTATAAAAGATTTGAAATGCAAAAACACCATGTAAATGCGCTATTTTTTCGGAAAATTTCGATTTTTATTGAAGGATAGTAAATTAGAATAAAACCGAGATCATAATCGGAAAGGACACAGTCAGACGAATACGAAAGAAAAAAGCATTTTGTTTTTCGAGTGAAACTTAAGAGTTTTGGAATGGATTCTTTCGAAAACGGTCTAAGATGTAAAGACTCTCTCCGGTATTTTGAGAACGCGCAACTTAGCGCAGGTCTGAACTAACATATTTTTATACCAAAATGTTCCTCGCGACGCCGTGCATCTATGGTGAATGCGCAAAAGTGCGCATATTTTCCTGGACTGAGATATTGGTTTTCCAAAATCCCTCTGTTTTTGAGGTAAACTGACCTTTTCGCACTCAAAAAACATTTTTTCCTACATGATATATATATATATTCGGAATCACCGTGAAAAACTGCAAGGATGGTATATAATTCATTTGAATTCGGTCCTTCCGTTCTGAATTCTATAAATTTCTTAGATTTGGGATTCACACGAAGAACTTTCCACTGAAAATTCAAAATTCAAGAGAGAAACCGTGGAAGGTCTGAAAAAAGTGCTTCTATAGGTTATCGCCGATGCTCTATGCAATGGAATGGTTTTTCAGTTTAAAAACGTTTTTCAAAGGATTTTCCACAAATCTGGTCTTTGTAAAATCCACTAGAAAACTCTGTCGAAACTGGAAAACTATTCCATTGGAAAGAGAATCGTCGAAAACCTATAGAAAGTGGTTCAGATAATTTCAGTCCACTTATAAAGTTAATGTCTGCCTGCTCTAGCGAAAAATGCCCACTGTGAGGTATACCATTATTTAATGGAGAAACAAAGCCAATAAATGTATTTGTGTTTGTGTGATAGTTTACCTCTGATACAACCCCCGTGCAACCTTCTGAACACCATATTAAATGTGTTCAATAAGTTCAAATGTTCTCGTAATTGATCGAATCTAAAAAAACATTCATTTAAATTTATTTCTTGTTGCCTAATTAATTCTTCAATAGTAACTATCGATGGTAATGCACAGCATAGATTGCATTTTATAAAATTATATCCGTTTCTACCACATAATATGAACAATGATACGGAAAATCTTTTAACACAGTCATTGAACCGATAGTTATTTTTTTGTTTCTGTAGATTGTTGCTTATATTTTCAATTAGAGTAAACAAAAAAGGTTTGGGTGAAAGATTTGTATAGGAACTTGTTTTCGAATACAATGATAACATTAATTCGTATAAATTTTGACTATCGATATTTTGATCATCGACCGTTGTCGTATTTATTGTTATTTGAGTTTGTTCGTTTTTTAGTTTCAATAACGTTATTAAATTTTTTATTCGATTTTTTATTCCAATTTTCATCACAAATTTTCCATCAAACCGCGTATAATCTACTCTTCGTTTAAAATCTTTCAATTCTTCAACATTATCATCTAATATAGCTAACGTTTCATCTATTGTGGTAGTAATTAAAACAGCTGTACTTCGAATCGCTTGAAATTTACATATCTCCACTGCTTCTTCACCAGCTGTTTCTCGCACATAATCATAAAACTTATCATTTGAAAACGATAAAACGTCATCTGGTAGATTCAGAACTGCGTGAGGTTCAATGAGAATCATAGCGAAAGAGTAACGAATAATCTAAAGAAACGAACGAGCTATGATAGACGAACGGATAAACGTTTTTAAAAGAAACTGATCGAATCGAATAGTCATAAAAATCCTAATAGTTCGAATATGCTTTCGAAAAGCCTGCTCTTGGTTATTGAACACAAAATAAAAAGATCCACATAAAGTAATGTATGAGAAAAGATATTATGTGACAAACTGTCACAAAAAAATCGACAAAAATAATCGCCCAAAAGAAAAAGATTCTTCAAAAATGAAGTCTTTTCGCTTTTTTCGTCCAACAAGTCGCTTTTTCTACTTCTACTTTTTGTCACAGCTTACTGTTAACATAATTTTTTTTTCGAATTTTAGCTGAAACATCATTAAATGTTGAAGAGTCACTTAGACGCTTTTCAGTTCTTTCAACACCGGTTGTTGTTGGTTTTGTTGGATTTTTTTTCGTACAGCCAGCTATTCTTTTTGTTGATGACGATAACGAGGCTTTATTATTATTACTTGATGTTGCTTCGTTTGTACCTTTCTTGGATGAACTAGCACCATTAACAATTAGACCAAGGGGTGATACTTTCTTTATCAATTTCATCAAAGAAAAAAAGAGATAATTATTTTTTAGAAATAACTGAAATATTGAAAACTATCTTTTTTGATTTTTTCTCCAGTTTTTCTGTGTCTTGAGTTTCTGTTTTCTCTAAAGCATTTTCTTTTTCTTGTTTCTTTTCTTTGAGCACTGGACATTTTGTTTTAGTAATATGCTGGTAAAATTTTGATAATTGAAAACCACCACCAAATGTATCAGTAAGTTTTTTCAATGTGATCGATGATCCACAACGGCTGCTGACATTGCACTCTTACGACTTGTAATTATTATTTTGTAATCATCACCATTTGTTAATTTGACACCAGCTTTTTGTGCATTACACCACCGTTCTATTCTATCAACGATTGATAATTCATGCATTTCAGCATTTTTTGTCTGTGATGCTGTGGGAACTGTTAGTATTGTTGATGAATTATTAATTAATTCTTTATTCTTAATGGCGTATTCGATCCCAAAACTAAAGGTGGTGGAGTTGAAATTAAAATGCTGATGTAGGTGAGCGCGAGGGTGTATGAGTGTCCAATGTGATAGTTGATCTTGTAGGTGTTTTGAACGAGAACGAAGATGGTAGTTGTAGTGTTATTGGCGACAAAGCTGTTTATGGCAATGGCATTGAAACTAAACTTGTTGGCAACTAGAAATTCAAATATAATGCAAATAAAAAAATATTTGCTCGGCTATGAGAGTAAGTAGGCATGCGCCAATACTAGTCATTATTGAAGATATTCTACAATAATATTGGGTAATTCATTTTAGTGTTATCTGTGACAGAAATATAAGCATCTAAAACTGAGCAAAACTGCGAAAAAACAATCCGCTATTGATTATTTTTCTGCGATTTTAGTCCGTTTTCGATTTATAAACTTCGATTATATAAACTTAAAATTTCTCTATAAACTTAAAATTTTTCAAATCCGAGCGGAGTTTGTTTTTGCGATATTTATACATGGTTGGATAGAGCTCACCGAGCTAGGTTTGAAAAATTTAACATTTTAAAGTAATGTTTGTATTCAACTTTAAGATGAATTTGAAGGCAATTGAAATATATCTCATAATAAAGGAATACTCACTGTGGCTTGTGCTTGGAGTGAAGCCGTTGTTGGAATTTGACGTTCTGTGACGACTGTAGTTCTTCTCAATCTTTTCTTTTCTCGTTAAATTGCCGTTCGTTTATCTGTTAATAATTTTAAGATTCTATCAATTTCCCGTGAAACCCCAAGTTTTATTTTATACACATTGGTATCATTGAAAAAGCATTGTTGTTTCATTTCTTTGTAGTTATCATCTTCTTCGTAACATAAAACATCATTTAATATTTCATCCTTTGTTGTATCAGCTAATGCAACCATTGATCTAATTCCTTGCAAAACAATTTTACCGGCTCACCGGCTAATTGTTTAATATAATCGTAGAATTTCAACAACAAAAAGAGATCTTTATTTTTCTTCATATGAACCAAAGGCGAAAAGCGAAAACCAAACATGAAAAGTGAAAAAAGAAGAGGCATTTCTTTTCTGTTCCTTCTTTTAGTTAGGAATATTGTACAGTGTTAGAAAGAAAGACATTCGAGAAATATACATGTGAATACACACGCACAATGTCAGCTGAGAAAGATAAAATCTTTGTTAAACTATAATTTTTTTCTTTAAGAAAAGTATTGATTCTAAAACACCATACCATTCAAGTTTACTTGCTTCAATCATAACCTTTAATTCAACAGACGTATGAATAACTATAAGTGGTTGATATTCGCGAGAAATTGCACACACGAAAAAGGTGATTCAGAGAAGAAACATCACTCCTACACAGAAGTCATCCACCCACTATTGTCCAGCGGTATTTGCACCTCACTAGAGAGATTTGGTCAAGGATCAAAAAGACCTCGTTGTGGCACCAGGTCATGTTTCATATCAAATAATAAAAATGGCATCCTTTCTGAAAATAACTTTAGATGAACGAACTGCTAGAGTAAAGTTACAACAGTCTGCTAACATGGTGATCGACAAGATGAGCTTTAATCGAGCTCCAACCATTACCGTACACTCTTTCCAAATGCCTGACGCATTTACAAACGATAGAAAAACACACGAGTTCATATTGAAATCAAATGATCATAAAGGTATCGTAAGGTATCATAATGGGATCATAAAGGGATAAAACAAGGGATCGATCCTCGGTTTTCCCCCCTTGAAAAAATCGCTCAACTTTTTTCGAACTAAATTTTTGTAAAAGTCTTGATATTGATGTGTACTGATACGAAATTTGACACGCATGGCAGCTGAAAAAAGGAAATAAATTTTTGATTTAAATAAATAAAAAGTGCATGAAGAGAAAAACACAGAATTGCATGGCACAACCCTATAAACAAAATTCCAGTACGGCACTGGTAAAAATCAGTGCGCACCCGTGCCCAGCAAGTGCAGAACCAGTGCCGTACAAGTGCCGATAAAAATTGTTTTTTTAGGAAACTCTTCCATTTTCTTTCAAGAGAATAATAACACTCAGAACAATAGAAATTAATCAATGTTAACTTACTATTTAACAGTGCAAATCGATTTGCATCTAGTTTAGATTTTGAATATCGCTCACCGACCGTCGACGGTAACATACATGTTTTTAATTTATCTTGAGTATATAATACAAGTAGCAATCGTCGTCCATAATCACCAGGATTTTTTCCATTTATATTGGGTAAATTTTCGCTATTGTAGTCAACGCCATGTTCATTCTATACGATATGAAAAATTTAACAAAAACATTGGTCATTGAAGCTGAACAACAAATATGCGAATTTCTTGATGAGTTTCAGTTATTATACGAAGAATTAAACGTCCG